TCGAATTCAAGTTTGAGACTCGACTTTATAAAAATCTCAAAAAAATCATGAAATTTTCGTGAATACTGTTTTATCTAAAGATCAGTAGATTCATTGGAAGATAGTCTAGTTCATCACCTTCTTAGAAAATTATTCCTTTATTAGAACAAATTTCTTATAGAAAAAATCTGGAAAATATATATTTTTTACTAAGCTCAAAATTTTTTGTAATAACCTCATATAGATAAGTTACTGCTGATTTTAGTATGGTAGCCACCTTTTCAAAGAACTATACCTAAGATTTATTTTCTTTCAATAAATATACCAAAATGTGAGATATTGTGTAATCTCTCCTCCCAACTGATCTTCTTGTGACATCAACCCATTCTCTAGTTATGGTCTAACAGGACCAGAAATTATATTTATATAAGAATATTCACAAGATGTTTTAGTTTTAATTGACTTTCCCACAAACTTGAATTAATCCCGATTTGTTTTATGAGGTCAAACCAAAAACTTTGTTAATCTCATGAATAGCTAAGATCTTTACAAATATAGACAACACTGATTTTTATTAGATATTATGATACTTATGATACAAACTATGATTGGTTCATGTACTTTCCCATTTTGCAGGTAAATCATGGTTTTTTTTGTTTTAGTCATTGGGAAAATCCTATAGAAACATAAATTATTGTTTTGGGTTGCAATCAATTCTAATATGTTATAAATTCTTTTGTAGAGACCAAAACTTCAACATCTTTGGAATATCTAGTATCTGTAGAGGTACAGTATACCACTACGTTTTTATGTAACTCTTTGAAAATAAGATCATTGGGTCCATCGAAAAACCTTATAGACAATAAAATCCCATATTGTGTGTTGTTTCCTCAGGTTGTTTTTCTCGGTGAGTAACTTGCCTTAACATATTTGACATGTCAATAAAGATTAGATACATATTAACTAACAATTAGGAGTAGTCCTATTTCTAATATTCTTGTGCAGGTTCACTAAACGATTTGGATTTCTTTTAATTTCTCCAGATGCGGAATCTTTGAATATTGAATAGATGCCAGGAAAATAGCTTTAATATATATTTAACGTTTTAGCATTTGTTTGCTACTAAAAAAACTTAATTTTTTTATTAAGAATAAACAAAAGGCAGGGTAAAAACTATTATTTTAAGTTAACTAATCTTATAACATCTTTTGTATGCGAGGATTTGAGGAAGTAATCATAACCCTATCTCTTGTCACTTCCATGTCTAATACAACTATTACGGATTGATTATTTACTGAGTTGACTGAATTAACGAAACACACTCTTGAGTTCCAGCAACTTACAAATTACTTCCTTTTAATAAAATATCAATCATGAATTCACCAAGCTTAACGCAAATTCTTCTAAAATTACTTGATTACATAACACAATACAAGGATATGGTTAATCATTAGCAAACACTAGGCACTATGTATGACGTGCAGAAGTTTTTTACTCAATGTAACCTTCTTAAAATATCTGCTAGCAAGATTAATAGTTGTTCAGTTGATATATTAAAATATTTAATACTAAGAAATTAGTGATAATGTACGTTTTATTTCTTACGCCGAATAGCATACTCTTGCAGATGATCCATTTTATTAATGTGCATCGATATTAGTCCATCTCTGCCAAAGGAAACTTGATGAGTTGTGAAGCCCAATAAGTTAATTATATTCTCGACTCCTCATCGTTGGAGCTTCTAGACCGTTCATAGGTATATATTGCATACGCAAATTAAACCGACCTAAGAGAAAGTGATTATTTCATATTTAACAAACTACATGAGGCTAGATTGGAAAACTCAATTAAAAGATCAGGCACTGAAGACAATAATAGTTAAGGAATGATTATTATTCACTAATATGTGTACCATATATTTTTTAAATAGGTTACGAATTTATTATATAGTCCATTCATAGCTTAATGTGTCACCAATTGTACTAGCAAATTATTTAATTTTATATATTGTGTTTAGTTGAAAAGAGAGATAAGATGCTCTAATCTGAATGTGATTTACTAATGATTTCGTATTGTGTTTAATCAGTGAAATTTGTTTTAAGTTAAAAAAATTGAAATTATTTTGAGTTTGGACTCTTCTATTTAAGGTTATATCATTTTATTGAGAATACTCGAAAACCTCAACAATATTAATCATATGTTTTAATTCTAAAATACAATTCAGATAATAAGCACATATTTTAAAAAAATTAACATGTTAGAACTCATCTTTACTTACTTAACAAATAAAAAACTATCAATTTAGTTCAACAATATTTAATAATCCAAAATAAGAACTCAGGAAAAATTAAACAAAGACAGATTGGTAAAATACCTCACTTATTCTCGATGCTTCAAGAATTATCATGGAAGTAGTCGAGTTGCTGGAGGTACAAACCAAAACGCAAAATTGCATTTGTCGTTTACACCTTTGGAGGCGAAACTAATCTGCAATAAATAACATTTGCATTGCTAGCCAAAACATAAAATACACCAAAATACATATAGCTTCACGGCTTTTGGCCAGATGAACATATCGTTAAAGTATTTTCATGATTTGCGTAACAGTTAATTATAATCTGGATGAGTGATTTCGCTGAAGATTCCCCATTGGGACAAAGTATCAACCATTATAAATCTAGAATTTCTGATTTTTTCAAATATCTTTTTAGAACAATATTATAACCATTTTCTGGATAATTCAATGATTCTCAAAAAGATTCAAATCAGACCACAAAAATATGATCATCTGTTTGACACTTGAACATAGAGTTTCTCGAAGAGGAAAACATGGTTATTCAGTTATATCCGATAGAGACCCAAATGATCAATTAGTAAACTTGATGCCACTTATCCAAATTTTGTCTTCAAAAAGGCAATTAATTCATCATAATTAGAATTTTTGATGACCAACAAAAACATGGTTAAACAAACAAAACCAATACATCTTATTAAATCACATTTATCAAGTCGTTGTCTATAAAATCAATTACGTATTGAAGATTTTTGCATAAACAAGGACATATTGAACCATAACCTCTGTATAATAATCAGTACAATTAGATGTGCACAAATCAGTGGAAACAAATATCAACATAAGAAAACTTAGTTTTGAGTACCCAAATTCAGGCAGCAGTACTACTTTAGTTTGCAAATTTACTAAAAAAATTCAATTCTCTTTAGGTGTCTTGAAAATTTTCTTAGTATTGAACTTAGACCATATATGACTACTTATTTCACAAAATTTATATTTTTTAAAATTTTTAGCGAGCCAAAACATGACATTCGAAAAGAGAGGTGCTGCGAACTGCAGAAAATGTCTCCAGTTACAAGACCTGAGATTACAAACTTTCACAAAAATATTTCATTGTTCATCCGATATGCATGAAAATTTTCAGCACATAAAAAAAATACAAAACCAATTTGTTTATTTCCCAAATTTCATAATTTTTTTGAAGAAATTTTTTTTTTTCTACCCCCAAGTTGTAAAAAAAAAAAAAAACCCAAAAAAATCCCGACAGTTAAGTGTTGCTGCGAACAACCGAAATTCTGGCAAAACATACCCGAGATTAAATAATTCACCAAAACTTCAATCTTTCCTCCATATGTGCATGAAAAATTTCTTAGAAATGAAGTAGACATACTAATATGTACTATACTCAAAATTTCCATAGTTTGTTCAGGATTTTCAAGTGAGCTAACATAAAATCTAAGGAAGTGCTGCAGAAACTCCTAAATTTGCAGTACAGCTCGAGTTAAAAATTCACAATAATTCATTTTCAAACAAATGCTCTGAAATTTCTTCTTTAAAAAAGAATCTCATGCATATCATACTAAAATTCCATGATTTAGGAGTTGCGTGAATATCAAATAATACACAAACATATTATGCTGCAAATTCAGTAACATAGTATCACACTTAAAAATATTTACATAAATGCATCTTTACAAAAAAAAAAAAAAAAAAAGGACGAAAATTTTTCTATAACAATTCCATTTAATATACGACATACCGAATTTCAAAATATTTGAGTTATGGAGTCTATCAACCCAGTTATCGACATGAAGGGTTTCCTTTTAATGAGATTTAATGAGCATACCTATAATATTATAGTTTGAAGACTATAATTTAGCATGATTAATTTTGACAAAGTTTAGCAAGAAATAATTCACACCACAATGAATCAATTATTAAAAAATTGAAACCCCATACGAACGACTGAAAGCAATTCATAATAATAATTAACCACACATAAATTATGCGCAAGCAATCCTTCATACAATAATTGTTATGATACATTAAGTGCATAGTTTCACCAGTATCGGTTCATCGAAAACAAACAGATTGAATGCTTTTATAACATGTTAATTAACAATTGTAACTCAAATTGCAAAACCATTGAGCCGATAAATCTTCTATGATCTCACTAGAACAGTATCCTAAGTTAATTTGACCTCCATCACTCAATAATATGAATACAAGCAAACTTACAAATTTAAAAATTAAGGCAGTTTATATGGCAATAAGCGAAACAAGAAAAAACACCAAATCAATCAATTAGTCGAACCAATAAAGTATTATGTAATATATATATTATATATATAATAATATAATATATTATATATATATATAAATTTAGGGTTAGGAGACAAAAAAGAACTGAGAAAATAGAGCCAAAAACCGCCGGAAAATATTTGAGCTTCAACTATGTTAATTAGTTGAACCTCTTAACCAAGAACATTAAGCAAACACTCACATGGTTCATCCAAAATAAAATCAATCATCGATTTATCTGTCAAGTCGTAGTGATAGATAAATGATATTTTCCTAAAGTTTTACTTCATTTGTTGAAGTCTGATACTCCTTCTATTTATCCATTCTGATGGAAGATTAGCCAATATGCAATAGTACCGTTTTGATGCTGCGAAATATGCAGCAAGTTACAACAAACTCATTCAAGATTGCGAAGCATTAACCAAGATCATCCAAGTGTTTCATTACTCTGAATGGATGTAATTCTCTGCATAAATGTAACAAACCACAACTCGAAGAAATACCATGAAAAATTAATCATGCACTGGTGTAAAAGAAATTGCAGAAGAATTGGTTAGAGTATAGCGGAAGCATAATTTAACCAGAATCAAATATATACCTCAGTCCTTAGTAAAATAAAAACCCTAGCCACTTGGTGGCTCTGATGGAGTCGCCATGGAACAAACAATTGAATAGTCTTCTATAAACAAATTTGCTTACCTTTATATCGGACCCTAAGCTTGTTGTGCGGCTCTGATACCACATGTAGAATATTCTGAAATACAACAACAAGACATTAGGATCACAATAAATCAAATCAATATAAATAGAAATTAACTAATTATATTTAAAACTAATATCTGTAGAATACGGAGACCACTTTGCAAAATATTCTAGGTGTCTTCTACTCCAGTACTTCAATAAAAAATAATCTCTCTGCTGTGAATGGGTTTAGGCATGTTAAGGACAAGTAAGATTTCTGCTCCAAATACAATACGTAGAATTATTTAAACAATTCAGATTTCAAGAGTGGTTCGTAGACCAGAGAAAACAGGAAGGGGACAATCAGAAAAAAAAAAACTCACTTTATAAGATAGGTGAAATTTCTGCGGTGTAGCTCTTCGGGAGGAATCCCTTCTTCTTTAGAATACCTGCACTGCCAGTAGTTAAACGAACTGATACACAAACCTTTGACAATTTATATATTATTAAAAACCAGTAATTTTAAATTAAGATGGATTCCAAAATTGAATTTTTCACAATTACTTCAACATGATCTCTGAATTTTTTTTAAGAGAATAGAAAAGGAAAACAGAAAATTTGACATGGGTTCAAAGTTTCAAACAACTTTATAAGTAGCGTATGTTAGAAGGATATACAGTCTTCCATATCCATTTTCCAGGTTAAAGAATCGGAGTCAGCAACCTCGTATACCTATCTTTTAGAAAAACAGAGACATGACTTCTAACAATTATTTATTTATTGCTACACAGGTGTAAGCTCAGCTTCCTCTACCCAGATGTACAGAATCTTCACTCACAGTAAATGTTATGTTGTTTATGAAAGGTGAATGATTATCATAATGACCGTAAACCATGTCATCTTGAAATTGTTTCAGTATACACTTGCTAGTTTAAATTCAAAACCGCCAGACCAAAGAGACAGCTGAGTTTCTGGAATAGCCAACAGCATCATCAGAAGTTATAAGTGAAGTTAAAACTAGAAGAAAATCAATTATACCTCCATGGGAAATTATTTTCACAGAAGCGGGATATTCCATTCATGGCAGAAAACGTATCAATGTGAACCCAATGTTCATTTGAACTGTTCGCAAGATGGCCTGTCAAAAACTCATCATATAATAATATCAAACTCATATATCAACAGTACCAAAAATATATACCGACTAAATTGCTAATATAAATAAAGAGACACAGAACAAGAAGCTAATAATAACAGTAACAAGAAGATACCAACTAAATTGCTAATATAAACAAAGAGACAGTACTTACCAGTCTGATGCAAATGTTTTAAAGCATGACCACTGGGATAATTTTCATTGGAAGCCATGAAACTTATGACAGTGCACCCTAGACTACAAAAACATAAAATCAGTAAAGAAGGTGGCAGATTATTCTTTCTGATGAAACCAAAAGAATTTTAAACATCCAACCTGATCAACAATAATCCAAGCATCACTGGATAAAGCAAGTTCCAGAAAGTCTTCTTCCTATTGTTATAGCTGTAGGAAAGAACAATCAGAATTCATTTAACTGTAGGAAAGAACAATCAGAATTCATTTATACTATTTTACAGTCAGGTTTTATTTATGCCGGAGCAAAAATACAATTACAACAATTTGATCCTATTTACAAATTACACAATTTGATACATACATTCTAGTTGCAGCAATTGCAGCAGATAAGTTGAACATGGGAACTGAGCTAATTATAAAACGAAGCTCCTGCAGCATGATATATAAGGTCCTTCATTATCTAATCTAGAATAAAAATAAGCCCACCAAACTCTATAAAATATGAGCAATATTACCTTGTGGGGAAGCTTAGAGTAAAGTAAAACAAAGGACAAGGCTGGAAGAACGAATAACAAAACCCTCCTCTCAAGTAAGACCCCAAGCTGCAAGAAGATTGTGTATCAAGTTAGAAAGAATAAGGGGTTTGGAGCCCTGGGAACATATGTAGTAGTATGCTTGAGAAGTTGAATGTATCCAAAATGATTAATCACAAAATACATTTGATTCCGTATCCATGTCTTTCATTTTCATGTTACCATCAATTATGATCTTCACATTCGTGCATCTATTTTGGGAAAAAAAAAAAAGAAAAAAAAACATTCTAACCAATCAAGAGAATGAAAGAAATGTTCCAAGTCCAAACTCTAAACTAACAATTTCATGTCTCTCATCCAGCACAGAGGGTTTGTCCCAAATAGAAAGCTATATCTGAATCTCTTGAAACCTCATTTACTATATTATTATCTACCCCAAGTAGAGACATTCGACATACAATTACTCTTGAGAAAATTACTATATCAATTGCAGTTCATACTTATGCCAAGTACTTAAGTATTATCAGCCATCAACTGTATTAAATTAGAAAATGTTCGAAGCACTGGCCAAAATAATAGACAGATAATCTAAGCTCACAACCAATTATATTATACATGAAAGAGAAGGTTTAGTTAGGGCACCAGACTCACCAGAAAAAGAGGGTATGCAGCAAGCAATGACCGCGGGAGTGCTGAAGTGAAATACCAGTAAAACGGATGTATCTGAATAAAAAGTAATATTAAGGAAAACTACTAACACATATTTATTAGTTATACATTCACTCCACTTTGCCCCCAAAAGACAAGGTGATAATCCCACAGAATCTTTGAATAAGAGTTCCTTCTCTTGTACCAAAACAATTAATGAAAAGAAAACGATAATACTCCTATTTTAGCATCCACTGAAAAGGTATCCACCAAAAGTTAACTGTCCCACTCCTAATATATAGCCTAAAATCCCTAAAACGAAACACTAACAAAAGATTCAAATGCATAAAACCAGGCAGAACACACACTACAAACTCGGTGGCAGAAACACTTGAAGACTCGGAAATAGTCTGCTCAATTGGACTAAAAATATGTCTTACTCTTACAAGATTATAAACATTACAACACACTCCAAATCAAATGCGAAACAGAATTGTTGTAAGGATACACCCCACTCTGAACTTCTATTGAGCACAGAGTTGAACCAGAAAACTTCAAATTCGGGCCACAGTAACCTTTTCCACATAATTGAATCTACTATAACAGTAAGGCCTGAACTGCAAAAAATCCAAACAAGAACATTATTCAGAAATTGTTGTTATTTTTGCAACCAACGTCGTGATCTATGCATCTGAAGAAATTGATAGTAGGGTAGTACCTGTAGTAGTAATACTAATACTAATAAATGATAATAACAGTAACAATAAGAACAATAATAATGATAATAAAACGACCTACGCACAATACAGCACACAAACTGCAGCATTTAAACGTCTTCCATAATGAAATTCTTTTAGTCTGTAATAAAAAAGAAAGATCAATTAATAATTTATTACACGAAGGTACAAATTAAAATGCAAATTGATTATCCACCTTAACCGGCACAAGTAGAAACTTACCAACAAAAGCTCCAGGCCAAGAGGGCCAAGAAGTAACAAAATATCACATCTAAAGATAACCGTAGCAAAAATCTGAATATAAAAACCAAGATGAAAATTAAAAGAAAATCAGGTAAGTGTATCTTAACTGTGAGGAATAAAGTAAACTTACTTCATAAGAATCATCAGCAGAGTCTACAAAAAAAAAAAAAAAGTCCAATTGGACAAAAGGGCCGAGATAATAGTATCCTTAGACATTATGATGCATAATCTGATTATAGCATATTGTGACATACCAGGCAGTTTATGGCTGCATAATATTTCTCCTTTAACCAATACCCATACGCCAAATTGACTACAACAAGAAAATACGAAAAATAAATAAAAGCCACATGACATATGAATAAGCTGTCAGAGCCAATCAATATTTCAATAATGAAAACTAGCATGCATCCCAGGCCAAGCACAGTAAGGGCTATAAAGGTTATAATCATACCAAAAAAAAAAAATACAAGGTCCTACAAATGATGTTATATTCATCTTCTAGAATTCAAGGAACTCTTTCTCTTTGTTTTTCAATTCCAGGCTTCTATAGGAATTCTATTCACTTGAAATGTATACGATAACAAAACAAAACAATATCTTCTTCTCCTGTGCTTCTTCTATGGGGTGTAAATGAAAACCCTAGCCCCTAGGTCGCACAAAGAAGAAAATAAGAACGACTCCTTCCCAACTCTTCTGTTTCCTATTTGTGCCATTTGACCCTTTGGTATTATAATAATAAACAGACAGCATTTAAGAATCAACGAAAAAGAAAGGCGCAAAATAATGTTTTCCCCTCCATATCCAGTACGTACCTAACGTGTATATCCTTTGTATTCTCAAGTCAAACTTGTTAAAATGATAAAAAAGATACATATTTGGAGTGTCGAATACTATCTACCCGCAGGTGAACTTAATTAATCATGTAGGAGGAAGCAGGAAAAAATAAATAAATTGTTAAGAAAACAAATCATTTGCAGAGGTTCATTAGGTAGCCAGTTCTAAATCTGTACAATCTTAAAAATCTACATCTACAAGGGAAAAAGAATGCACATGAGAAGAATTACCTACGCCCAGAGCTAGTATATTTGGAAGTGGACGAGTACAATAGAACAAAAGGTGGAACTGAACTGCAGTTAGTATCACAAAGAAAGCTTCCACTTGACGTCCAAACTTATGTCTAACCTGAAAAAGGAAACAAATAAAAGGCTTAGTTATATTTTTTTTTTCTTTTAAGAAACACAACTTAAGAGGTCGCACTTGGTGCGATGGCAAGTGCCTTCGCCCATGAGCAGTAGGTCTCGGGTTCGAGACTTGGGAGCAGCCTCTCCATAAATGGGGGTAAGGCTAGCCGACATTCACCTCTCCCAGACCCTGCATAAAGCGGGAGCCTTGTGCACTGGGTACGACCTTTTTAAGAAACACAACTTAATGAACTGAACAAAATACAAGGAGTACAGTGCACGAGAAGAAAATAAGTATAAAGCAACAGCATACCTGAAGGCGAAAGAAGCATAATGTAGATAATATGATGCCACCTAATGCCAAACGAACTGGCAAACAGCAACTAAAACAATTTAGGAATTGTTTTTATGAAATGCAAGATATAACATCAAAAAAATTTATAATTAAAAAAGATATAAACAGAATGAAAGGCATTCCCCATGAATTTCATCCAACTTTTTTCTTCTCAGAAGAAGTAATAAATTAATACATGACCCCAAGTGCAAGAAAAGTATATAGGAGGTATGCCTTTCAATTCCCACCAAAATGTACCACTGAATGCACAAAACAACATGCTTTTCAAATAAATCCTCTGCGAGACTTCTCAGACTAGATGGCCTTCCAAATCGCCATTCCAGCAAGCAAGAAGGTCAGCCACAAATCTCAGCATAACCCATAACCCCAGATACAAAAATAAACAATAATCCATATGGAGGCCGATAATAAGATGGAAACCATGAAATATTTGCTGCCACTCGTGAAGCAACGCTTAGATGAATGCAAACTTACAAGAAATTTAAAGCACTAACCTGCTAAAAGACTATAAACCTTTGGCAAATGCAACAGTTCCATTGCTAAAACAGAAGGAGATGCCAAACTTGAAACAAACAATGCACCTAGAAGAATGACATACCACACAAATCAGTGAAGTAAACACCTTCAAACATTTAATAAGTCATCAACGAATCAGTACAATTTTCAGTAGTTTTATTAATTTATCCATGAGTTAAAACACTAGAACAGCTAAAACTGCACTAGAAATATGGGGATTGGCATTGCCCCAAAAGGCTTTATTTGGCTAATTTACTCATTTAGACTTTAAATCACAAAGTTAGTAACATCTACAGCATAAATTTTACAAGCTTACCCAGAAAAGTGCGAGGAACGACTCCAGGGAACTCCAGATGATCATACTACCAGGAGGCAAACATTTATCCAAACAAAATAGTTAGATAGCCAAAAGGACCAACACATTCCAGAAAACATAACAGCTGACACAAGCTTATGAAGAGACAGATATATAAACTCACATTATCTATGCGATTTCGATAATACAGAATGTCATGCATTGCCTGATAACAAGTAAGAACAAGAAACAACGAAATTAGAAGTAAGCAAAAGCACTAAAGAAGCTGAAAACAATACGCCGATAAACAATTCAGTTTTCCCAGATAACAAACTCATCTCCCCCATCATGTTATCAGTGAGCAGACCAAATTTGAACCTCAAATTTTCATTTAAATCCTGTTTAATTTTTTGTATATACTGAAAAATTTTACATTTCCAACATTTTCCACCATTAAAAATTACCACAAATCACTGTAATTCAATCATTTAACTCTCTTATTAGTAAATATTTCCAAGTTTTTCACTTTCATACACTTCAGGCAAATAGAGAGAGAGAGAGAGAAGTGCCACCTGGACATTGAAGCTTTCTTCAACCTTAGTGTAGGGCGCCATGAACACATAAAACGCAGCTATCGATCCAAGTACCAAATCGTAACCATGGCGCTCAAGAAAATTGGAAGACTTGGAAGCCATTGTTTAGAGAGAGAGAGAGAGAGAGAGAGAGAGAGAGAGAAACACAGACAGAGAAGATAGAGAGAGATGAACTGAAGTATGTGGGTCTACTTGTGGGCTGGGCCGGATAGATGTTTTATTGGGCTTGGGCTTTGGTTCAGATAAAAATTTGAAACAAGACACTTGAACAAGAACAACGTCAGAAGAACGTTGTAACAGCCGTAGCCGTTGCCATAGCTGATAAGCCATGGAAGCTGTAACAGTAACCTCACCGCCTCTCTCTCTGCACCACCACTGCTTCCCGCCAAGCACCCGCATCGCCGCCGCAAACTCTAATGAGTGTAATAAACACCGCCAAACCTTCAAGCGGAAAGCTTTATCATCACGGCGGAAACAAAAGACTCCGACTTTCGAAGAACACGACGCGTTTCCGGACTCCTTGCCGCTCCACACGAAGAACCCACATGCCATTTACAAGGACATACAGAGCTTTGCAAGGAGAAATAAGATCGAGAAGGCCCTGAGTATCTTGGACTACTTGGACCAGCAGGGCATCCCGGTTAACGTCACCACATTCTCCGCCCTCATCGCCGCATGTGTCCGTACAAGGTCGTTGGATCACGGCAAGCAAATCCACACTCATATTCGGATTAATGGGCTCGAAAACAATGACTTTATACGCACAAAGTTGGTAAATATGTACACTAGTTTTGGGTCAGTGGATGATGCACAGAAGCTGTTTGATGAAAGTTCTAGCAAGAACGTGTACTCGTGGAATGCCTTGCTTAGAGGCACTGTCATTGCTGGTGGGAAGCGGTACGGTGATGTTCTTGATACTTATTCGGAAATGCGGGTGTTAGGGGTTGAGTTGAATGTGTATAGTTTCTCTAGTGTGATTAAGAGCTTTGCAGGTGCTTCGGCACTGTCGCAAGGTTTGAAGACGCATGCCCTTTTGGTTAAGAACGGTTTCATCGATAGCGCAATTGTTCGGACCAGTTTGGTTGATTTGTACTTTAAATGTGGCAAGATTAAGCTTGCTCACCGCTTGTTTGAAGAATTTGGTGATAGAGATGTGTTGTATGGGGAGCCATGATTGCAGGTTTTGCGCATAATAGGCGGCAAAGGGAAGCTTTGGAGTATGTTAGGATGATGGTCGATGAAGGAATAAGGCTGAATTCGGTTATATTGACTAGTATTCTTCCTGTGATTGGGGACGTTGGGGCTCGAAAGCTAGGGCAGGAGGTTCATGCTTTTGTGGTGAAGACGAAAAGCTATTCGAAGCAGATTTTCATTCAGTCTGGCTTGATAGACATGTATTGCAAGTGTGGAGATATGGATGTGGGGCGGCGGGTTTTTTATCATTCTAAGGAGAGGAATACAATTTGCTGGACTGCTTTGATGTCGGGTTATGTTGCAAATGGGAGGCCTGAGCAGGCATTGCGATCGATCATTTGGATGCAGCAGGAAGGGTTTAAGCCAGATTTGGTCACGGTTGCCACCATCCTTCCAGTTTGTGCAGAATTGAAGGATTTGAAAAGAGGGAAGGAGATACATGCATATGCTGTGAAAAATTGTTTCTTGCCCAATGTATCTATAATTTCTTCTTTGATGGTGATGTACTCGAAGTGTGGCATCTTTGAGTACTCCATAAGACTATTCGATGGGATGGAGAACAGAAATATTATTCTTTGGACGGCCATGATTGATTCCTATATTGACAACGGATGCCTCTACGAGGCACTTGGTCTGGTAAGGTCAATGGTCTTATCGAAGCACAGGCCAGATTCCGTTGCAATGGCAAGGATTTTGAATATTTGCAATGGCCTAAAGAATTTGAAGCTTGGGAAAGAAATTCATGGACAAGTTTTGAAGAAGAACTTTGAATCGATCCCTTTTGTTACTGCTGAAATTGTGAAAATGTATGGGCGATGTGGAGCCATTGATCATGCAAAGTCTGTTTTCGATGCAATCCCTGTCAAGGGTTCAATGACTTGGACTGCAATCATAGAGGCTTATGCATACAATGACATGTATCAAGAAGCTATCAATCTGTTCGATCAGATGAGATCTAAAGACTTCACTCCGAACCATTTCACTTTCCAGGTGGTTCTATCTATTTGCGATCGAGCTGGATTTGTTGATGATGCTTGCCGTATCTTCCATTTAATGTCTCGTGTGTACAAAGTTAAGGTATCTGAGGAACAATATTCTCTAATCATTGGACTTCTTGATCGTTTTGGCCGTGTTGAGGAGGCTCAAAGATTTACAACATTGAGTTCATCTCTGTCGTAATGATGGATGGTTGGACCTTCCTTCTTTCATGTATAAATTTCGTAAGCTCCTGAAACTTTCTTTGTGATTACTAGTTTTCTGCAATTTCACAAATGTATAGAGACCCATTTTATCTTCATGTATGAGTAACATGGTAATTTTCAATTTACTTCAATGTGATCGTTGTTACCAATTTACGGTTTTTTTTTTTTTTTACCTCCTCCTTGAATTAAGAACTTCATTAGGAATCTCATCAATTGAATCGAAATAAAATTCGAATCCAAACCCAAATGCAGATAGACGGTTTGTGAAATACCTTAATCAAAATGTAAGCTCAAATTATTGAAAAATACATTCTAAAAAACAATTACAGTATAAAAAAGAATTATTAACCTAATAGAGAATCACACCAGTTAAGCTCAAAAAGGTGATTAGTGGATCCATCATCAAGGGGATTTAAAAAGACATAAACATGTGATCCATCTTTGACTCCATAATCAACGAGCAAAACTCCGTCTGCATCGTCATTCATGAGACGGCTACAATGACGATCATCACTATCAGTGTCAAGAATCAAGATCAGACGGTGGTAAGGGAGCTCCTGCTGGGCTTCAATTTCCCGTTTTAGATCAGCAACCGTGGCCTCCTTTCCGACTTGAACATAGAAGAGAGTTCCTGTCAAATTCTCCACCACCACCTTCATTGTCATGTCGAAATGTCGAAGTTTATTGTTAATTAAGACAAATTAAGCTCACTTTTGGTCTCTTTTCTTTTTTCCGGTAACAAATTAAGCTCAGTTTATCCGGGCAATATTCATGCAGAAAGCTTGAGGGAGGCGTTCACGTATGCTGCATTATCGGCAGTTTGTTACATGCACATGCTGATATGCTGATGTGTTAGATAGGCTGATTAATTAGAGTTTTCGGGACAAGAAGGTGTCAAGGGCTCTCCGACGATCAAGATATTGAGAGAGCTAGAGTTTTCTCCGTGTGGAATAGTGTTACCTGCAAAAAAATGTCGAATATGTAGGAGAGTTAATAACGATTTAGGAATGTATTGCGAAAGAAGACATGGTCCATTAATATAATTAATCCCTTGATTTGAGGTAAATATAATTTGACAACGATCTATGATATGATCGCATACCTAATGTGTGTGTGTGGAGCTATAAACGAGTCGAGTCGAGTCCAGTCGCCGAACCGAATATCATTGTGTTCAAGTTTGCCTTGTTTATTTTATTTTTATTTTATTTTTTTAATTTTTTGAGCTCGAGCTAGGTTGGGCTTGCTTCTGATACGAGCCGAGCTTGAGCCAGAATAATTGTGAGATTTCTTCAATTATGACAATTCCGAATTTGAAATTGTGATCGATTTGATTCTAAAATATTAGAACAGAAATTGAAAACGTTGTTTCTGATCCGATCTATCCAAAATATAATCCCCTAGTGACCCATATGGTCAATAATTTGATTCTAAAATATTAGAATAGAAATTAAAAACGTTATTTTTTATCCGATCTATCCGAAAATATAATCCCTAAGTGACTCATATGGTCAATAATCTAAATGAGAGCACAAGGGCACTTAAGTGTATCTATTATTACTTATTTTAGGTCAAATTTGTATTTTATGTCAAACTGAGAGGGATAAAGTAATGATTTCAGGAGTGAGCTCCAAATTTATTATGTTACATAATATATAATTTTTTCTGAATTAATATACCAAGTATATGTATTTTATGCTGTACAAAAAATTAACCTACTATTTTATCAATGTTCTGTTATTTAATATACACATTGATGTATAATATGACATACAAGAGCACTCGCAATATTCACGTTACAAATTTTTATAGTATAGTTTCACATTAAATTATAGTGTTATGGTTGTTGGATTTTTTTTTTTTTTTTTTTTTTTTGAAAAAAAAAAGGTTGTTGGAATTTATATTTGATGAGGTTGTGACTGTTTATGAACAAAGTTATGATTATTCATTATTCAGTTAATATAAAGTGAGCATCCTAAAATGGTGAAACATTCAAAATACCATAAATTGTCCTTTAAGAATTTTGAAAATTACAATTGAACCAAAATGAGTTAAAGTAATTCATCACATTTTTATTTTGAATGAATTTAAAATTTAAAATTATAGAGGAAAAAAAGCTCCAATGTTAGACCAACTTCAATGGTGGGCTAAAAGCCAAATTTCCCCCAAACCCACTCCAACCCAAGGGGAAATTTTGGGCTAAATGCTAAATGCTAAACCAATGCCAGATTCCCCCCCAAAATTTAGTCTGGAAATCGGAATTTAAATTTTTCAATATTTATCTGAATTTAAATTTTTTTTATATTAAAATGTTCATAAAATTAATTTACAATAGTCTACAAATTTTTTAAAAAAAATTAATTTAACAAAAAAAATAGCATAAGTTCATTCTTTAATAATCCCGAGCTAAAATTTTAGGCTAGAACAGTTGGAGCAGAAAAATTGTTTCTAGGTTAAAAGCTAAATTTTTCGGGCTAAAATATTTGGCTTTTAGCCCAACCATTGGAGATGGTCTTAATGGGTGGTTTCATGTTTTTGCTTAATTTCCTTTTTTGAATAATTTTTTAATAAAAATATAAATTAGTTATTTAAATAAAAATATAACTATAAAGGACAATTGCCAGGCTAGTTCAATTAAAGAGAAAAGTGAAACCTTTGTTTTGTAATTGAAGAGATACAACTATTGACTCTTCCAGATAAAGCACAATTTTTTCTAAGAGTCACTTAGTCCACCCACATGCCAATTGCTTGGGTAATTGGGCAATCCAATCCTCAAAACTCGAAAGAGCCTCTCCACCCAAACCCAATCAATCAGGCTATTAGGGAGCCAACATCGCCAGACTCGTCACTTTGGCGGAATGGCCCAAGTCTCTGACTAAGTGGATCTGACGTTAGGCTAACGACATCCAAGTTCTCTCCTCTTTTTTTTTTTTTTTTTTTTTTTTTTACATCAAGTACGTGGTTTTTAGGCGCGGAGAACGGCATTTGAGCCAACCAATAAGGTGTGACGGGGCCCGTGCTATAAGCGCACTCAACCTAGCCTAATGGGGGGCGATGTGGCACATTATGTGCTGTTGGATTTCCAACGGCTAAATTTTTTTTAATTCAATCCTAACGGTTAGTACATGTGGCGACA